TTTGTGTCTTTGGACATTTTGTAAGAAGGTTAAATTTTTTTTAAAAAAAAATCTTCCACAAAATTCATATAATTCAAGAAATCTATGTAACAATTTAAAGTAAAATTATAAATATTAAGTGATCATAGTTACAAATCTCAAGGAACAAATCTTATTCAAATGATAGGAACACCATACAAAAGGGACAAAAATAAAGGAGCAAATCTAAGTTTTCAAAAAGTCATCAAAAAAACTAAAAAATTCTATCTTCTCAACTTTTTTAGGAACATGAATATGGTCACTCATGAAATCATAACCCTAAATATAAATTTTTTTCCCTTCAACTTCAATCACAACCAACCATAACATAAACGAGTACAAATTATTCAAAACATTTAAATATAAAAGAAAATGAAAATGATATTTACCTCGATTAATACTATGTAGCCAAAATCGGACCATCGGGGATAGAACCTGAAATGACTCCAACTGGGTGTGGGTTACCAGTCGTAGGAGGGAGAAGTTCTTACTATAGGGTGGGGAGACTTGTTGGTTGTATGGAAGTAGCGCGGTTTAGGGTTCAAAATGAAAAAAAAAAAAAAAAATGAGAAAATGTTTTTTTTTTTTTTTCACTTTTTCAAGATATTTAAAATTTTTTGTGGGATGAAATAGTTAAAAAGTGATAAATTTGTCGAAATTATTGAAAGGTGATATTTTTGTAGTTGATAATTCAAAAAGTGATATGGGGTGCAATTTCCTCTTTATAAGGAATATACTACAAACTATTATTTTTATATGTTTAGTCCCAATTTTATCAACAAACGAAAGCAGTCTAGTATAAATCGACTTCCTCCATCAACTTTTGGGTCTTGGGTTTGAGTCATGACTTGGCTCTTTCTTGATAGTTTATAAATAGAAAAAAGAATCTGACTAGTTTTGCAAAAATCCGTTCGATTCTCCTAAGTTACATTCTAGTCGGATTGATAGAATCAAACGATTCAACAAGTCTCAAGCGATTTAAGTGCTAAATGATCCAAACAAACCAATCAGATCGGATCATGGTCTGTTTCATTGGTCTAATCCTTTACAAGTTTTGTAACTATTATTTTAAAGTCCAATTTCAACTTAGATGTTTAAAGTAAAATTCATTAATACTTAAAATTGTAGTTAGTTTGCAAGTATAAGTTTAAGCCTTAAGTTTTAAAAGTTTTTGGGTTTTGTCGGCATATTCATAGACTATTAAAAGCTAGCAAAGTAGTTGATACATCCGAGTTTAGATTTTGAGCATTACACCCTAAGAACTCCCATATTCGACTAACGAGTCCCCTTTAAATAGTTGATCAAAGCCAACTTATTAAACCAATTTCGAAGACCATTGTCCGTAGTTTGTTGACTTCATTGATAATATTGTCATCATTAATCGCTATTAGAGATACGTTGATATCAACAAACGATATTTATTTTTTTGACACATTCAGCAGCCCAATGAATTTTTTAATTGCTTGCAAAAATACATAGATATTCCTCCAACCATGGTGACTTGCACTCGAAGGAAAATGGGATATTGACAAAATGCTTTGTTTGGCTGCAAGAAATTGTGGTCCAGAATTATAATCTGAATCAAAATATAACTTTTCATTCTTAAATTTGAACAACAATTAGGGATGAAATGTAAGTGGTCCATAATCTCTATTTAGGCACGCTTAGAGGTGGCAACCACATGAGCTCGGCTCTTGTTCAAGGGGCGAGCTCGGCTCTCGTGGGCTGGGCCGAGCCCACGAGCTCTAATTATTTTATTTTATTTATTTTTATTATTATTATTTTTTTTAAATTTTCAACTTTTGGCTCATGGGCATTGCGAGCAAGGCTTGGCTCATTTGATCCAACCCGTGCTCGGATTTGTCATTTGATGAGCTGAGCTTTAACGAGCCGACGAGCCACTCGGCCCGTTTGACATCCTTAGGCATGCTTGTTTGTTAAGTATGTCTGAAAAAAATAAATAAATTAATTATATAAAATTTAATATATGACATATTTGAATTTGTATTAAATCTTTCGTTTTAATATTATTCAAAGTAGGGCCATAAGCAAAAATCGCAAAATCGGAAAATCAAACTGAAACCGCATTTTAGAAACCGTCGGTTTGGTGCCACGTGAACCCGATCAACGAAATGGTTTTGGTCCAAACCAAACCGATTAAAATAGTTTGGTTTAGGTTTGAGAATTTCAATTGCAATTTAAAACCAAATCGGACCGGCGAAAAAATATATAAAAATAAAAAAAATGAAAAAATGAATTTTTTTGAAAATTCAACAAAATATGTAAAATTCAATAGTTTTGTCATTTGTGAGTATTTTTGTCAATTCCTAATTTTCTAATACAGATTTTTATTATTATTATTATTATTATTATTATTATTATTATTATTATTATTATTATTATTATCCAATAATCCTAATATATATTTAATAATTTCAAGACTAACGTAATCTATCAAAGTCTTTTTCCTCTTCAAAAATTAGATGAACTCCAGTCGACACCCAATACAGTTTTGAGCTATCGGCCCCACACACTTCTTTTTCAAATTTTTCACGCTTCTTCAAAGTTGAATTGAAATCCATTATACCAAATTGGAGACAAAGAGATCCTAGACCTTCGGTGATAATATTTGCTATAAATAAAGTTTCAGATCAATAAATTTTTGGAGCAAACTGAGGTAAGAATCTGAAATTAAATGTGTTTCGTAATATCATACAAACGTAAACTTGTGTAATTGTTATATTTAGATATTATAAACAATTACTTTATTATTGTAGTTGATTATTCTCTTTGTTTAATCAGTATTATTTTTTTAGATATGATGATAACAAAGTCTTGTTGAACATCATTATGTTTTTTGGACCTTATATCTAATTTAGTAAACTTGTATTGTAACGTTATTGTATCGTCATTAGCCTAAAAAAGGTGAACAAAAATGAAAAAAAAAAAACTTTATTTTAGTTTATTGTGATTTCACTTTGATTTAGCTGATATTTAAATTTATAGTAAATATATTTAGCCCCTATTTGAATCATATTTTCCATATCATCATAATGAGAAAATTAACTATTGGAGAGAAGGCTAGGTCCCACACATGAAATAGCAGGTCAATAAAGGCGGTTGGACTTTTGAAATAACGGTCTAAATTTTTATTTTTTTGTACCAAAAATTTGGTTCAAACATGGGCTTAGTTTGTTTTAGATTTATTACTAGTGAGATATAAATATATATTAAATTCAATGAATTAATAACATAAAAGTAGACGGGCAAAAAAATATATGACAAAACAAGCGGTTTAAAATCGAACCAAATCGTTAGGTTAAGGTTTGAGTTTTTTTCAAACCCTTCAAACTGGTTTGGTTTAAGTTTTGGTTTTTTTCAAACCGTTTCAAGCGGTTTGGTTTGAAAATATGTCAAAAATCAATCAAATCGAACCACTTACGCCCCTAATTTACAGTATTCACTTGATATAAAAGTCAAGAAAAATTTTCAAATATTATACGAAGAAATCAATTCAAAGTTACGTCAAATTTACTTTTACATAATCCGACTACACAGTGCCTGAATTGCATTTACTGTTTATTACTTATGAAAATATATAATTACTTATTTTGAGAGCATAAATATGAATTATTTTTAAAATTAATAACTTACTTTTGGCAACAACAAGATTATTTATTTTATAACTTAAGGGTTATTTGATAAAATTTTTGATAAAAGTTTTAGCAATTTTTTGATAAAAATTAATGAATGTGTAAAAAAATCATTCATAAAAATTGTGGATCCCTACTAAATGTATTTTTAAATTTAATAATTATTCAATTACCTTTAAGCGTAGCCAAACATGCACAATCTCGCATGTCTAATGCTCGAAAATTTCCACCCAAAATATCTTCGAGGATTGAAGACTAGAAACAAGTAAAAAGAATTAAAGACTGTCGCATCTTGAAAATTCGACTCATACATTTATACATAGTACGACCCATTTCGACACCTTCAAACAAATTTAAAAAATATTCAATACACATATCATTCTTTCTTGAATTTTCACAATACTTCAAGCAAGAAACAACTTCTGTCGCTTATCAATTATAGTTTTGGATTCTTACAGAAAATATTGCACAAATAAAGACTATCAAATTATGTTAGCCGATTGATATGACATGTTGGCCGTTGTCATAAATGCAATTTTAAGATTATGCTTTCGTTCGGAACTTTTAAGGTTAAATAATGCATCAAATTTGTATAGACTTTCGAATAAAAATAGTTCAACCAATTGTTCATGACGAATTAGAATGTCGAAGGTTGAAGTTGTAATGGCCATCTTAAAAAGTCCAAGGTCAAGTCAAGTAGTGCGACAAATTATTCATAATTGGACATGAGATTGAGACTCGCTCATCAATAAAAGTTGACACAACTCGAAAATTTAAGTTTCATAAATTGTGCATAGCTTGACTCTCATTCATGACAAGTTATGTTGTTTAAAAAAATACCTCGAAAATATCGAGTCAGTGTAATTGTGCTGGTACAACTAGTATTGTCAAAAATGGAAATCTCTATTTTTTTTTCAATTTTTTTACCTCATGCAATTTTTGAAACTAAATTACTGGATTCAAAATTCATCTATTACCAATTGATTTCAAGCTCACACATTAATATATATAATTAAAATTAAAAAAAGTCCCCATGCAAAGCATGGGAGTGATGTTATCTCATGCCTTGCTGGCAGCCCCAGTGTGGGGGTTCGATTCCTGAGACACGGAATTAGACTCCTTGTAGACGCAGTGTACAGACAGCTCTTGTTCCCTAGCCTGCTGTGACACATTCCGCGATTTACCTCCTTCACAAAGCTCTAGAAGCAAGATGGTGGGGGCCCTCAAAATTAGAGTTCAACCTTTTTTTTTTTAATTTTAAGATAAAAATAAAAGGAAATAATAAATGCAATGTCAGACCCAACTCAACATATAGGTAAAAAGCGCAAACTTGCGAAGACAGAAAGGAAAAGCAGTGCATTTTCTCTTGTTCTACTCTTGAAAATTCACTTTGTTTGACTCTTCAATTACTTATCAAAACTGAACACTGAATTTCATGAAAATCTCTTACTTCGTCAAATTCTTTGATCAAATTCTGTTGTGATAATGGCAACAAAATCTTCTCCGCGAATTCCTCAAAAAACATTAACCATCGAAGAAGAACAAACAAGAATACAAGATACCTTATCATTTCCGATTCTATTATCGGAACGAATCCGACGAGCCGTCGATGAAACTAGATTGTTCAAGTCCGACTGTGCCGAGGTTGGCAATAAAGTTGTTGTCATAAGCCAGATGCTCCGCTCTGCCGTCCGGTTAGCCACCTCCGGCGGTGGTGCCGCCGCCTTCTACGACCGCCCCTTCCACCACATAGCTGCTGATGTCACCAAGAATATGGAAAAGGCGCTGATCCTTGTCAAGAAGTGCAGGCGGCGCAACTTCCTCTGCCGGGTTTTCACCATTGTCTCCGCCGCGGATTTTCGCAAGATTTTCGCCCTTCTTGACTCCTCTGTCGCTGACATGAAATGGGTTCTTAGTATCTGCGGTGGCGGTGTTGTTCTCACTTTACCTCCCATTGCTAGTAATGATCCCATGCTTTCTTGGGTTTGGTCTTTTATTGCTTCATTACACTTTGGTCAATTACAAGATAAAATTGATTGTGCTAATGAATTGGCTTCTTTAGCAAAAGATAATGATAGAAACAAACAAATTATCGTCGAAGAAAGCGGGATTTCACCATTGTTGAAGCTTTTAAAGGATAATTCCTCGCCGGAAGCTCAAATCGCGGCCGCCACTGCCCTTTACAATTTAGCGAATTCCGAGGAAAGGGTCGGACGAATAATCGATGATTTGGGGATTCCAATCATTGTACAAGGTTTAGCGGATTCTCCAAAGAGGGTTCAAATAAAGGTAGCAAATTTGGTGGCTACAATGGCAAAGTATTCTCCACTTGCTCAAGATGATTTTGCAAGGGAAAATGTGATTAGGCCACTTGTGACATTGTTGTCGTTAGATATATTCCCGGACGATCCAATGATCAGAATCGGAAAGCAGACTTTCCATTCAATCGTGCAAATCAACAAGGAGATGGAGAAAAATACGAATAGGGTGGGGTCCTCGGTGGTGAGTAGTAAGGTCTGGAATAATAGGAGGGAGAGGGAGAATGAGAAGCCGGAAGTTAAGCTCGAGTTGAAAATAAGTTGTGCTGAGGCATTATGGATGCTTGCTCAAGGGAGTGTACCTAACAGTAGGAGAATCTCGGAGACGAAAGGGTTGCTCTGTTTGGCTAAGCTTGTTGAAACCGAGCACGGGGAATTGCAGCGTAATTGTTTGATGACAATAATGGAGATAACGGCTGCAGCTGAATCTAATGTCGACCTCAGAAGGGTAGCTTTCAAGATGAGTTCTGCTGCTGCTAAAGCAGTTGTCGATCAGCTCCTAAGGTTGATTCAAGAGTCTGATAACTCGTGGTTGCGAATTCCAGCTATCAGGGCGATAGGTTCATTAGCTCGAACGTTTCCAGCACGAGAATCAAGGGTCCTTAGGCCGTTAGTTGAGCAACTTAGTCACGGGAATCAGGACGTGGCTGCAGAAGCTGCTTGTTCACTTGGGAAGTTTGCTTGTCCTGATAATTATCTGTGCGTGGAGCACTGCAAGTCGATTATCGAGTTCAAAGGTGTTCCCCCTCTATTAAGACTATTAAAGGGCCACGAACGGGCACAGTTGCACGGATTGATTCTTCTCTGTTACCTTGGATTGCACGTTGGAAAGAGCGAGGCTTTGGAACAATCACGGGTTTTGAACGTTCTTGAGGGGGCGGATCGTGCATTAATTGCTCAACATCCTGAATTGAAAGAGTTGATTTCCAAGGCAATGTACCATCTAAATGTGTTTCACTCAGGTGTGCTTACTCAGAGGCAGTCTTACACCCCTTAAATACGGCTTGGACATTGCTTTAACGGATTTTAACGACGATTCAAGCATCGGGATTTATTAGATACCAATGATGTATCAGACAACAGCAGGTACTCGTTCTACATCAACAGGTACTCGTTAAGAGGGGGGTACCGATGAACAGAATACCGATTGATTTTTGGTGGCATCCTTACGAATTTTCCATTTCTCAGCACTTGGACAGTTTGATCTATTCTTGTGTAGGCATTGTTCAACTGTGATTGTGCACATGTACATCCATTTGAGTGCAGATTTGATACTTCTTTTTGTTGTTTGGCTTGCTATTTATGCGGGTTTGCACTTTTAAGTTGTTTGTCCATCAAAATTTACACATTGATAACACGTTAAATTTGAACAGAATAACCGTAAATTTGTCATACTGAGACACCATGATCAAAGAGACTACAAGACTGAATTACACCATTATTTTACAAAATCTGTAACTAAAGAGCAATCATTCAAGAAAAAAGGTATAAAACTATATTACATCTTGTTTACCTTCTAATATAAACGTTCTATTACAAGGAGAAGCTTTAACAGTAGAATCATAGCAACTGATGAAAAACGAGGAAGACTTATAGTCAAGTGAAGAACATGTGCCTATGAGGTTCATCGGGTCGAAGGTATAGCATGCCAATTGTTAGCCAGATGCATTGCTCTTATCATGCGAAATTGTTGACAATTGTTGAACTATAACATTTTTTACATGAGCGGCAGCAGTCTCACCAGCTCGGGTGGCAAGCTTCAAGTATATAACAGCCTTCATCATCTCACCTTCCTGTCCAAGAGCAAGTTTGAAAAAAATAAAATGCAGTACTTTCTATAAATTAAGTAAAAACACACTTTCTTCAAAAGATTTGTGCGCCAAAAAATGTAACTTTTGGAAATATGTTTGGGATAAAAAGTAGCTTAAAAATTTCTTTCAAGCTTAGCCAAACATGTTCCAAGTAGTAGGTCAAAGACTTCCATCATCTTTGCCAAAAAATGTAACTTTGAAACATGTTCAGATAAAAAGTAGCTTAAAAGTTATCTTCAAGCTTAGCAAAACAAGTACCAATTAGTAGCATCAAAGATTTCCATCAGTTTCTTGCGCCACTCTTTAACACGTATTGAAGATATCTTATATACACAGTTTTATGGATTAAAATCTTGAAAATAAAAAAGAAAACCACGTTTCACAAGTCTGTTATTTCTGTAAGTTCAAACTCAACAAAAATGTGGACATATAAGCATCTATCTGCATCACTTAAAAGAACTTTACCATGAAACAATGGGATGTTTTGGTAACGTACAGAAAAGACACCCAACCCATGCTCAAACTGCGCTTTGCTATGACCACGATCAGCTGCTTTTTTCATCCATTGCCTTGCTAGTCTCTGTGACTGGACCAGCCCCTCACCAAAAGAGTAGCCCAAGGAGGTATTATACATAGCACGAACATATCCCCCTTCTGCAGCTCTTAGATACCAGCGAGCCTGCCAAGATTAGAATTTAGAAATTCATGAGTTAAAGTTACAATAAGAATCCATATCAAAAGAACAATACGCTACCAAAAGTTATTAAAAAATGGATGGCCTTAACTATCTTAGCCCCTGTTTGACAACCATGGGCAAATCGAGTTTTGAATAGCGAGTTTTTGTAGAATGTGGGGTTACAAATTAGTGAAAAGTTTTGGGTTCACATGTAGAGTATTTTATTGGGTGAATGTGTGATTGAAAATGAGTACGTGGAAAAAAGAGTTAGAAAATAATGGTTGTCAAACAGGGGCTTAACTACATGGGAGTATCAGATAATCCTCATGGACTATTCAACTTTGATTAAGAGTACGAATTTGCTAAAGAACAAGTAACTCTAGACATGATTAGCCAAACAAGAAGATGTATAAATTATTAGCTCAAGAAAAGTAATTTCTGATAAGGTAGCAGTTTTATGCCTAGATTAACATAATATGATTGCCCAAAATGAATAGTTTAAAGGAAATCTAGCTTCCTCTTGAAAAGAAGAAAAGATGGGTGTTAGACTCTGGGACGAGGCAGAAGGTTGTGTGGCCTCCTTCTTGCAGCTGGAAACTCGCTCTCTTTACCAGCTTACTCTCAAAGAATAAGAGGGGCTGGAGGATAGATTATTCTATCTCCTTTTTCAATCCTTTGCTCTAACCAGCTGAGCTACCTGAACACTTGCCTACAGTCCATTTTCTTCATCGAATACCACCCCACTTGACAAGTAAGGGAAAAAAATTAATATGAACCACCATATCTAATTAGCCAACAAAAAATTAAGATCAGATTTCTAGATTAATTCTACAACTGTACAAATTGATCACCAAGCAACATTATACCGCCTCTTGTACGTTTTGGTTGAGTACGCGACCTTGATGCCAACAAAGAGCAAGTTGGTACTGCGCTCGAACGTGACCAGCAACTGAAGCTTTATATAACCATGCAATTGCCTCTTTGGTATTCGGAGGATCAGCCGCACAATTTACATCTCAGGACAATATAATAGAAAAGACACTGCAGAAAGTACTGCACATTATTATAACTGTTCGTTCCAAATGCAATTCTTTTTCTCACCTTGAAAAAACACATTATTTGTATTAACCATGAACGTTTGTGCTTGTTTGAGCTCATACTTATCAGTTACCTGCATCTCATTTTCACGGCCACTCTTGAAGAGCTCTATATTATTGAGGAGAAAGATTGTTGCCATGTCTGGTGAAGGACACAAGAAACAGATATCCAAAATCAATAATTTAGTTCAACAACATTACTTTTAAGTGTCTCAGCCTACATGCTTATCTTCAAAAGGCCTCACATCCCCAGTAACCCAAAATGGAAAACTCGACATTGACAATGGCTTACATAATTTTCACAGGATCTGCTGATGGATAGTATTTAAAAATAAATAAACTAAATTAAATTCTCCTTGACATCCAAAAACAGGGCACTTCTTCTAGTGAATAGCCTACACAACAGAGATATAGTACATGTATTTTCTCTATATATTTAGCAAAGGAAAAAAAAAAAAACCAGATTAACCACTTTTCTTTACTTTTTTATAACTCAGTCTAAAAGCTTAAGCTGCTAAGAACTTGACAACAAATTTGTGTACAGAGGAAAACTGAACAGTTCATAATTCTAAAATAGTCATTCTTAACGTTTATGCAGATAGATAATGAGTCAGCACTAAAAAATATTACAGCATTAAAGGCTTATGAATCAGGCATGTAAATGAAGTTATTAACCACTGACACTGAAAGACTCATTAACTTATAGCAGATAAAAGAATTTAAGCGAAGACAGAATAACTAAAATAAATATGGACCACTCGAGACTAGACAAATTTCCACGATAGAAAGCTGTTAAAATTTCTACAATCTTTAAGGTCGTAATCAAATGGACATGACCACCTCAAAGAGGAAAACGTAAAAATGAACCTTAAAATAGTTTCAAATGGACGCTTCAATGTTGATGAAATAGGCTTTCTATTCCAATTGTTCCATTTTGACACTATCCACTCGAAATATTTGAGAGATGTAAGTCCATTTCCTTCTGAGTCAAATATAGAAACTGTCCACCAAATACAGACAATAGAATTCCATTCAAAGAACTGAATTTGTTTTTCCTAATTCAAAGCTCAGCCTAATAACTAAACTTTTATCACAATCTAAACCAACCCACTTCGAATTAATTCAAAATTTGAAAATATATAATCACTGAATACATCAAATTACACAAAAATAAGCAAAAGCTGAAATCTGATAAAAAGAAAAGAAAAGCAATTACCTTGCAAATACGAAATACCCAAATTACACTGGCCAGTAGGGTTACCAAGCTCAGCTGCCTTTCTATACCAAGCAATACCCTGTTCTTTTTTTCCCATTTCCCAATAAATCAACCCGGCGTCCACCATTGCTATTTGCCATCGTGGACCCACGCGCCGCTCCTTCCAAGAAGGAATCCAAGGCCTTCTTCAAATTGTGCTTCACTCCTCCGTGGCCGTGCTTGAACCGCTTGCCCCACTTCAGGAACAGCAAGGCTTCCCTCAACAGCCGGAGCGCGTCCCTCCACGCTCTGCATACCAGCGACACCGTCTGCAAATTGTGAAAGGAAAATGACGCGGCGATTCTAGCTAAAACATCATTAAGGAGCGAAGAAAAATCTGGGTCGTTACACTTCAATGACGATGAAAACGATGATGAGTTGGATGATTTTAAAGCGAAATTTAGTTGATGCGATTCCGGATCTTTGGTGAAATTTTTTTGGGGTTTATCAATGAAAGGGAGGGCTGTGGATTGAGGTCTGCCGGATTTGTATCGCAATGTTTTTTGCTTCATGGCGGTGGAGCTGGTGGTGCTGCGCGGCAGTGATGGAAGTGGTGGTCAATTTGAAATAGGGCCTACCAAATCTCCCGAATCGAACCGATGGATCGAATCAAATGCGACGGTTCTTGTCAAATTAAATATCCAAACGGGTATCTGAATTGAGAATCGACGGTTACGGTTCGATTCTCGGTTCTAGACCAAGAGCCGAAGAATCGAATCTTTTTTTTTTTTTTTATATTAAGTAAATCAAACTATTTTAATTTTTTCTAAACAAATTAACAAATTAACGATTTCTAAATTCAAATTTTTGACCCAATAGTTTATTTCATTTTTAATTTTTTTTATTTTTGGCCCAATTATCCATTTTATTATTTCATTTCTTAGCAAAACAAGATCAAATCCACTAAATAACCCTAAACACTTATATTAAAGTACATAACGTTGTCTCGACTCTCTCACTCACTCTCACAGCCTCACTAATATTCCAAAACCTATACAATCGTCAGACGACACTGTGGCCTCCAATCGAAGCTGTGACCTTCGCCGACCGAAACTTTGATCGTAGCGATCATTTGAACAAGGTAGTTTACTAGTCTCTGACGTTCCAAAACCATTGAATGTATCATTAATTGTATTTATATAATGTTGTTATAAATATTAAAAAATTTAATTATAGTACAGAACCGAATCGAACCGAACCCGAACGGTTCCATAATTATATTTGGATCCGACGGTTCCATTTACTAGATACCCGAAAATTTTGGTTCGATTCGATTCTCTTTAGAACCGAACCGAACCGACCCGCGCCCAACCCTAATTTGAAATGTACCAAATAATGTCATGACGTCTCACATTTTGTGCTCGGTGAACCAGCGCCGAGTTTCTCAAGATATTTCTTCTAAAATAAATTTTCATCAATATATTTATTTTCAAAGAAAATTAGATTTTGATACTTGTACACCGGTGTATCGATCCCTCAAAAG